CTTTCAGGAAAATACCTGGCTGATAACTGACCCATCGCTGAACAAAGTGAACGCAGTGGACTGAGGTCGACGCCGAGGACAGAGGACAGACGGACACCAGACAGACTCTGTGATCTTTTCTGAACCCACACAACAGGTCTGCAGCCCGCCCAGCAGTATTGTATAACTTGCATATAACATTGTGGAACTGTTATAGGTCATGTAATTATTGTATTTGTATTCATTTCATAACATCTGTATTGCTGCACTTAGACACAAATGGGTTCTTTCCTCCTCTGTAGTCTGTGCCTCTGTCTCCGTCCTCCTCTGGTCAACGCGTGGTGTTGTTTTTAAAGTTTTTCACTGCAGCTGCCTGACCAAACAAGGAAGGAACAGATTTTTAATTCTTGTTAATGTGAAAATTTGGGCCATTTAAAAAGAAATCCTCGTTGTGGTCAGACGTGCATCAAATCTGAACACATCCAGAGTTGGATGGGATGAAGTTAGTAAACAGCCCGGTCCTCAACCTCTGGGATAAGAATACGAGAGGTGTACTCACTGTTTTGCACTGATCCATGTAGCTGCTTCACATGACACACCATCAGCTGTCACAGGTAAAAGTGGGTCCTTCTTCTTGGTGCTTGTTTACTACCTGTATGAAACTAGATTTCCAAGCATCGCCTGCTGGTATTACATGACACATCCTGCTAAAGACACCAGTTAGCCAGTCAAGCCACTATTCTATTTCTCTGTTATATACACTCGCATGCAGGGAGGTTGTAAGGATGTTAGGCAGCTGCAATGACTAGTCAGTTTCACTGGTAAAATAAGGAACTATGTTTTCGTGTCAGAACAAAAGAAGTGTACAAAGTGTCATTTAAGTCGAAAATGTATATCTTAAAGGGCGTTTGGTGTTTTCCTCGTATCGTCAGATAGCCTTCCTGTTGTTCACAGGACAGCAGTGTTAGACTGCAGAGTACATGACAGCATTCTATTTTTATTTATTGATGACAATGACTCGTTGTATAAAACGTGATTCTGTATATGAATAGAGTTTGAATGGTATCACACGACTCGAACCCTTAAAGGTATAAATATTTAAATTCCTTCTCATTTTTTGTTATCTGTGTAGTTGGGTAACCTGTGTACAGTATAAGGTCTAATTTTTTGAATTTATTTCAGATATAATTTTTTAACTCAAGTGCAACAGAAGAATTGACCTATATATGGGTGGGGGAGGGGTAATTTAAAGACAAAAGATAAATATCTTTCTGGATTCTGTGTAATGCTTTGTGAAAGCAGTGTTAATGTAGAGTTAGCTATTACATGGCCAAGATTCACGCTTTGAGGAATAAGTTTGACATTTTTGGATGATGCGTGTGACATCTGCCAGGAAACTGCTAGCATGCTAAAAAGGCCGGGAAAGGCTTGCCAGTCTGTGTCTGTCAGCACCTAGAAAGCTGATTAATACACAGTGTCATGTTTCTTCTTTAATACAAGGGTGTAAAAACACCCTGTTGTATTCGTCATTAACAAGTTTATTTAGCTTGAGAGTACTGCATGGGTCCGAAAATGCTAATGGAGTTCATCCACGCTAGACATTAATGTCTCTGTCAGGATAAAAGGCAGCATTTTAGTAACACCCTGTCATTTTCTCTTGCGCCATCACCAGGTCAGACTTTTCATTAGTTCATGACTTTGGTTTATTAAATAAATGTTCCCCTAGCCTTATTTATGCTTGTTCTGGTGAGCTAATTTTAGCATGCTAATATGCTAAATCACCAGGGATACTGCAGTGAACGTGCACTCATGCCATTAGCATGCCAGTAAAACACATTGCTGTGCTGCAGTGCGCACTCTCAAGAGAAGCAAGCATCAAACTGTAGATGTTTTAGCCTCTTATATTTTAGCAACGCTAGCTTAGCCGTTTCCCTCCCATTTCAGTTTTTCTGCTAAGCTAACCAATATGGCTCCTGGCCAAGGTTAGTTTTTCCCCCCAAAATGTCAAACTCATCCTTCAAGGAAGACAAAAACAATAAAAACGGCTGCAGAGATGAAGTTTAGTGACCATGGTACTAGTATTGGAACAGGAACTGTTTACTGGGACCAGCTCATTTCCTTACTTCAAACTTAGCTGTAATAAAACAATAAGGAAACCCTGATCATCTAGTGTTCTCAGTTCTTTCCTCTACCTTCAGTTTGACGGCAGATCACAAGAAAACCTTCCTTCCTGTTTCCATTTACCTCACTGGTACCTAAACTCCCTCATATCATACCCTCATATCGTGAGCAAATCCCAGTCATCCAGCCAGTGCTTGAATCCATGGCTTTATTTTGCATAATTGTAACGGTCTCTGTGAGATGACATGATTTAAATGAGGTTGTGGAGCGAGGTTAAGTCGACCAAAATGCTTTCTTTTTCTTTTTTTGTTTTACGTTTTGTTTTTTCGTATTTTATGTGTGTGTACCCCAGACAGTCAGTCCCGTGTTAAGGAGAATAAGCTGAATATTTTTAAAATGGATAAAAAATTAAAAAAAATGTGTTGTTTAATGTGAAAAACACTGTGCTGATGATGCTGAACTTCCTGAATGCTCCGACACTCAACGTGAAGAACAAAAAGTGTGCGTGAAGTGTAATCGAAAAACCTCTGTACTGTACTCTGTGTTGGCAATCAACTAAATGTAACCAATCACGGACCTCTCAGAGCTCTCAAGCATTTCGAGCGGATTTAGGACGGTATCCTGACGTCAGTACACCTATTCAGCGATGCAGTACATCTGATTGGATAGTTTTTGGGCCCTGCAGTTCAAATGAGTCTGTTCATTTGTACTTTGATCTTGTGCAGACCCAGGCTGAGAGAACGGCAAAGTTGCATTTTGTTGGTGTGAGGAACGATGGATGATTGGTGCCGTTTAGTTCTTGATAATACTTTTGTTTGGTGACGCATTTTTTCAGTCATGTCAGTCTTTCATCGAGCTAAATGGAAGACCACGTGCCCGAGACAATGCTGCTACCTTCTTTAAGCTAAACAGTGCAACAGTCACTACAGCATTATCTACAGAAGCCCACCACACATGCCACCCACGGTGCATCAGTGTAGAATTACTCCTACACTTATGGTTACACGTCTGTTTGATCACAAACCTTTTTCACTGTATTTCTGGAAACAGCGTTTAAAATTTTCAGCGCATCAAAACACAAGAGCTTCATCTTCATGGCGAATTCATCCTGCAGTATTATTGGATGCAAAGCATGCGGTCAAACGGTGGGGCTTTGTGACAATAGTGCTGAAATGACGTGTTGTGCTGAGTGTCAGTTACCTTGTGTTAATGTTGAGACGAGAGCAACGAGTGTGTTTGTGTGTGCTATAAGCAAGAATGCTTTTTGGTTCTTTACCATTAACCTCAAACACATGTGAAAGCTGTTTGTACAGTACATAACAACGCTAAGATGATCTGAGAAATTTAGTTTGCTTCTTTCCAAAACCAATAAAAGTTATAACTGGATGTTTGTGTTTGCTGTTTTCCTTCTATGAAGTAATATTGTGAGGTTTTATTTGTTCCCATTCAGCAGGTTGCTTTAGCGATGTTAGTCCAAACTTTTGACCTTGGCTGAAATATCCCCCAAAAAATATGGGACGGATTTTGTTTAATTAATTTTGCCCTTAGAACTGTCATCATTCTTCACTGCACAGCTTCAACAGGTTGTTGAAAATATTCCTCAGATTTGGATCTGTGTTGACGTGATAGCATCACACGGTCATATTTGTCGGCTGCACGTCCACGATGTAAATCTCCTGGTCCACCAAACCAAAGTGTGCTGGCTTGAGATCTGGAGGCTCTGCAGCCCATTTGAGTACAGTGAGGTTACGACATGTTTAAGACATCAGTTTGAGATGATTTGAGCTTTGTGACATTGTGGCACTAAACAGCTGGCAACTACTGTGTTCTTCTGCTACTACATCATGGTTCACAGATGCTCTTCTGTGTACCTTCATTGTAACAAGTGGTTAAAACCAAGGTATGTAAACCTGTATCCAGTGGTAAACTGCTGGTCATGGCTAGAACTGAAGGCTATAATTTGATTATGTTTGCATTTGTACAAGTGGCTGGTTAGTGTGATTTGCACATGATGGCAGCAGGATTACAATCTTCTGAATTTTCCTGTCGGGGGAATCCTGACAGCTACAGGATGGATTCCCATCTAATTTGGTCCAAACACACACAGAGGGCCCGGTGGCGCCAGTGTCCGGCAGCCTCGCCTCTGTCAGTGCGCCCCAGGGCAGCTGTGGCTACAACGTAGCTTGCCATCGCCAGTGTGTGAATGTGTGTGTGAATGACTGAATGTAGTGTGAAGCGCTTTGGGGTCCTTAGGGACTAGAAAAGCGCAATACAAATGCAGGCCATTTACCATTTACACCTCTTAGGATGAACCGCAGTAGCTTTGATGTTCCCTTAATCCTGTCTGCTCTGCCACCATCTCATTAAATTAGCTGAATTTTAAAGCTTTAATGATTTAAATGTGTAAAATCAGTTTCATTCTTCCCGTCAGTCTAAGCTAGTTTGTGTGCCACGTACGCTAGGACAGCTAACACTGTAAATATGGATTCTATGGTCATTTTGAGCCCAAAGATGCTATTGTTTCATAGAAAATAATAGAAAATGATATAGTGGAATCAACTTGAATTAATAAAATTCACCCAGGGAAAATAAACCACAGGTTATTGATGCTATTGCGCTTTCCTTTACTTCATAAAATGCTAATTGACTGAAGCTGGATTTGGAATAAGAGCATAGAGGAGTTGGTGGATTTGTAGCTGGTTAAGAGTGTAGTTGATTTTCTTGTTGCGTGCTTACGTGAGAGGTGAAACCTGCTCTAAGTACCGCCCCTTGTAGGCGGGGCTGGGTTGTTGCCTAAGGGTCATGTGTAAGTGGTGTGTGGGCGTTTGTGCACGCCTGCTCTGCCAGCTGGTTTAGTTACTTATTCATGTACTTGTGTACATACTTGCTTACTTTTGCGTGGGGGGGGGGGGGTCTTAGTGATCCAGTTTGATAAGTTCACACGTTGTCCAGTATTTGGAGTAAAAAACAAACAAACAAACCTTTGCAGAATTGAATCCCGGTGTTATAATAGAATATTTATTTGACAAAAGCAGCAAAAAAATTACCAAATACAGGTGAAGGTTGCAAGAAAGACAACTGATTTTAAAACATTTATTTATGGTCGCACATGTACAGCTCGGGTTCAGGAACATGTTCAGAGATGCTCATCCAGATTCACTTCCACAAAGTTTAACACTTGCACAGAGATCATAACAGTTCGCCACGTGAGTCAGATTTGGTTCTTAGCAAGGTACACAGTCATTATAGTCACTTTAACAACAACAACAACAACAAAAAGTGAGAGGATTGTCCTCAGCAGAAGTGGGCGAGGTCGGTCTTCCTGCAGCCCACCTGACAGCACATGTTGGCCAGGAAGATGTTATTATCCCGTTTGGTCATCTCTGAGGCCAAACTGCTGAACTTCTCCAAGCTGCTCTGCTCCCCTGTAGGCAGAACAAAACACATCAATGAACAGAGTGTGGAGGTTTTAGAATCTAAGCCTTTAACTTGGTCCTCTGCAAACGCATTAATAGTGTAACTTTACCTTTACAATCTGAATGTAACTGTGCGGGAAACTCTGTTCACCTTACTTTAAACATGACTTCCAGTAAATGCTTTCTATAGCAGTTCATTTTAGCCGACAGTGTTTCTCAGCAAGTGCAGCTGATGAAGCACTGCTTTCAGACGCATCCTGTGTAATTCGTCCATGTTCCCTTTAAATAAGGAAGCGCTAAATGACTGCACGGATGAGCTCGGTCTTATTTGTCTTCTTCAGTGTCACTTTACGCTTTCCGATCAGCACGGCTGACACGCTAACTGGGTTTATTTGTGTGGTGTATTAGAGAAGACGCCCGGGGAGCCGCCAGCTACAGCATTTAATCATTGAGCTGCTGACTCCTCTGGCAGACTGTGCGTCGCTGTGCTGGGAAACACCTGTTTGGAGAAGCCCTGCGCGTCAGCCGGTGAATTAATAACATAACACATGAGGTGTAGCAAAAACTGGCAGTCTGGTTAGAAAGCACAAACTTTAGCTTGTGTTGGGTTTCATTTAAGCCTCAGAAGCAGATACAGAAGAAGTACTGTGTGGGCAAACTGCACTGAGATGGTAACTCGAAAACATGCCATTTTTTTTAAAAGTGATATAAATGATATTTCTATTTTTCTTGAACGCGGTTACACCCTCACTGCAATTTAAATAATATAAATTAAAGGGTAAATACACAGTTTGTTACTGACTTTTTCTGCATCGTTCTTTCTTGAAGAAAGTCTGAACCACTAAACTTGTAGCAAATGAAACTATAGAAAGAAACTCTGCTACTAACAGCGCGTCCCTGCTGTTGTGCGAAATGATTAAAAGCAGAGTTTTCTCACCATCCACGTCTGGCTCGCTGAAGAACCTCCTCCAGCGGGACGCTCCACAGGTGTAGGAGATGGCGTTGATTAACTGCTTACCGCACAGCTTCATTGCCGTCACTTGCGCTCTCACCTGATCCACACACACCACTGCACACAAGAGCAGAGGCAAAACCACCAGAGCACGCATGCTGGATATCTGACTGTTGCTCTTCCAAGCCCACCACAGCTGTTCTCTGATTCTGTCTGTTATCCTGCCAGCTCTCTCGGTTATTGATCTGCCGCTCGCATCCTCCTTATATTAGATTCAATCCACCTTTCACTTCATTGATGCCGAGCGTCTTTCCACCTCCCTCTAACCAGCCCTTAGCCCATCCCAGTCACACATACACACACACAAAACTTGTTGTGCTTGCGGTTATCTCCACCATCACCATTTTCAGCCATCTAAATAAGAGTTACGAGCATGAGCCTTTTACAACTCGGCCGGCAATCACATTAGCAATGGTGCAGCCCCCCCTTAGCACCCCCCCCATTACCCATGATTGCACTGACCTTCACTACTCTGCATGGCTAATTAAGGGATGCAAAGTGATTCCCCCTCGAATCAAACAGATGTTTCTTCTGTTTACGACGCTCTGATGGTCCGTCTGTCTTTGACTTTACAGCAGTTTGGGTCATACAAGAGGAAACAAGTCAATGTTGACAGTCCATCATGCGGTCATTACGGCGCTGCTGATGGTGCGATGTGACATTTCAGCTCGATCATTAACAGCGGAGGATATGAAATTATGTTAGATGGGCATGATGCGTAGTTATAGCAGCAGAAAACAACAAAAAATATACAGACACATAAAAATATTTTTCAAATAGTAGAATCAAGCAGTATTTTCTAACTCTTAATCTTTCATCCAAACCAAACCAATGGTTCTGTAAGAGCCAATTAAAGGTTAATTTTATTGGTACTGGTAAAATGATTAGAGGACAAATATATATGTTTGATGTTAAGAATATAATTCTAGTTGATTTTAAAATACTGTTTGTTAAATGTATAGAATAGAGAAGTGCAACATTCTAAAGCGCTTTTTAGTATTTTGGGCTTCCGGCGCACTGTAGTTACGTAGTTGAGGAGTTGGATAAGCTGGAAGCGACACAGTTTTTTGACCGAGTCTTGCCATGTAAACTAAAAGTGTCAATAAACATATTGTTTGCAAGAAGGATACTTGGACTTGCTCGCGTTTCAATGCATGTTGCCGGACTGACTCCTAACGGCGGTACAGAAGAGTGAAATAGGGACGGAGTGCCGCCGCTACAGGTTCTGTCTGATGAGCAATTCCATACTAGCAAACTCTACCCTTTATTCTTTTGCAGGACACACGGAGATACAGTAACTATAACAGTTTATACATGAAGTCGGTGTTTTGACCTTGTTCAAGAAATAATAACCTTTCATTTTCCAACTCATTAGGCTGGTAGCATCTTAGAGAGGCAGCGTTTCACCAATCTGCAACAATGTGTGTCTACAAATTGCCGAACACTTAAAACTGTGAAATATTGAACACCTCATCTGTCTACAGTACAAAAGATAATTTTAAAAAAATGAGAGAATCTGAACCTGATTCTGTCATGGGAGGTGAAGCCACGTGTGAAGATGGTGCATAAACCTCGCCACCTTTGCTGGGCGAGACAAATAGACTGTGGTAAAGTGAAAAACTGTTCTGTGTTAGGTCAATTGAAATTTGAAATTCTTTTTAGAAAACATGGACGACACGTCCTCTGCACCAAAGAGGGGAGGGACCGTCTGACTTTTCATCAGCACTCAGTTCAAAGTCAAAGGTGCGCATGAAACAGTCAACCTGAACATCTGGAAAAGCAACATCAGTGCTAAAAGCTATGTACAGGTTTTAGAGCAACGTGTGCTGCCATCCTTCAGGGGAGGCCTTGAATATTCCAGCAAGTCGATGCATACTTCAGATACTGCAACAGCAGCAGGATTCAATTCATTCCCGTTTTATTTGTATGGCACCAACAAATTGATGCGTCTTGATATGTTTTAGATTTGCACATCGCTGCATTCTGTTGATTTTCACATTTTACACATTTTGTAATTATGGTTGTACAAAAATTCTGAAACTGGAGGTTTACTGTCCCTGACATGTAAATCGGGATATTAAGAAACAAATGGCGACGCTATATCATCGTCACACTGATTACACAAGCTGGATTCTGTCTGTCAGGCAGCGCTGAGATTAACTGCAAATCTTAAAGGTCACCAGCAGAGATGGGCAGTAACGCGTAATCCGATTACTTTTTTCAAGTAACGAGTAAAGTAAGGGATTACTATTGCAAAAACGGTAATTAGATTACCGTTACTTTCCCGTAGGAACGCTGCGTTACTGCGTTACTAAAACTGTGATTTTTTTGCAAGAATGTCTCATGACAGTGACGTAAGCGAGTGCGACGTTCGTGACAACAGCTGTGTGCAGATCAACAATGGATCATATATCGAGTGCGGGAGAGAGTATGAGCGTGCAGCGTTTAAAGCGTGGAAGTACTGACCTTACTTTGAGTTTGATTCCATAAAAAGTGACAAAAACATTAGTGTCCGTTGTGCGTGGGAAGAAAACTTCTTTTTACAGCGAAAAAAACCCCTAAACTTCCAAGCAAGCACCAAGTGCGCAACGACGTAATGGGAAATTCACAGAGAAACTCGCGGATTCTTCAACTGACCGCGGCACACCTGCACCAGGGTAAACCTCCGCCTACCCACTCCTGCTTTACAGGTGAAAATAGAGCAACAGGACCGCTGAGTCTTTGACTTTATTTATTTTCTGCTGTGTTTTACTTGCATCTATTTGAAAGACTGAGTGTAAACACAAAAAATATTTTATTTTATGTGCTGGAATGTGCAGAAAATAGGTTTAAATGTTAAACTAATTTCTTCCAGTCAGAGAATGTTGCATATAATTAAATTTTTGCTTGATGCATAAAGTTAAAAGATTAAAACTAATAAAACAAGTTTTAAAAAGAGACTTTTCCATTTGATCACATTTTGTATGATGGATTATGTAGAAAAAGTAGAATTGGGCTGAAAGATCTATCGCTTTATCACCTCTTCAGGTTGTAAATCGTGTTTTTAAAAAGTAACTAAGTAACTAAGTAATTAATTACTTTTGAAAATAAGTAATCAGTAAAGTAACGGGATTACTTTTTGGGGGAAGTAATCAGTAATTAGTTACTGATTACTTTTTTCAAGTAACTTGACCAACACTGGTCACCAGTGTATGTTGCACGTTCGGGGTCAGGCAGCTTGCTTTGCTTTCTTATTTATGAGGCTATTTATTTATCTTCTCCGTTTTACCTAGAATATGTTATCATCGATAACTGCACTACTGTCTGTCTTATAAAAGGGATAGTCACATTTTTCTGGTTGAATAAAGGCTTAAAAGAAAAACCAACTCTACGTGCTCAAAACTTCGTGGACACAGCCTAGCTAAACTTTAAGACTGGGCTGTTTTATATGACAATATATGATAATATTTTACACATTTCTGAGTTTGTGGCAGCAGTTTTGGAGAAGTCATTTGTCCTGTTGAGCCTGGAGAGATACTCGTGCCTGTAACATCCAACATCAGCTGCTGATATAAGTAAAACTGACGATTGAGATCAAATCTCTGTCATCATTGGAGATATTAAAACATATATATGTCATAAAATTTAAAAATCTACATTTTTAATTAATAGAATGAAATAACAACTATTGCTATATGCAATGTATTTTGAAGGCTAATATATCTGCCTCTACATTTAACTCACAGCCGTAGTTGTAGGTGTGCAACTAACATTACCTTGGTATCACTGCACACATGTGAAGGACATCTTTGAACGTCCGTGCCTTTCCCTCCATCCAACCAATCAGAAGTTACATCCCCAGTAACACATGATCATCTGAAACCTTTCTGCTGTGCAACATTTTATTTTATTCTATTTTAACTTTTTTGAACTTTTACTTTACTAAATTTCCAAAAAATTAGACAAGCAATTGTTACATCTAACAGCAGATTTCGCCTGACGTTTTTGGACATTTGTGTTTTTTTGCGCAGAATCTTTGTGACAATAAAAACATGACTTCTATGTTTACTTTAATGCCCGAAAGGAAAATGTAATGTTTTCAGATCACATCTGTTTTAATGGGATTGTTCATATCTCACGGAGACATTCAGTCGCCCTTTTCTCTGGGAACTACATTTTACAAAGGGAGCCACAAGATAAGCGGATGAAACAGACATAAACCTAATTGGCTCAGGGAGACTGCATCTTTGGTCTATATGAACCTGTCAGACAAAAAGCTGACCTCAGCAGCGTCCTGCTGAAGGTAAAGCGCCCGGAGGGTGAATTCTAGTGTATTTGCAATGTTAGCCAACCATCAGTCGCCTGTGTCTGACTACAAAGGTCTAAAACTGCTGAACTTTTTTTATAAGACCAGCACAAGTGCATTAACATACACCGCGGGAGGCTGAGAGAGCTGTTGGTTTAAAAACTTTGTTTTCAATGCTTGTTCCTGAAAAGAAATATAGATAAAAACACATAAAGATTAATAATAAGGGCAAGCACAAACAAATACTTGTTGTATTTCTGCACTCATAATGTTTTCCAGTTTTCTGTTAAATTATCACAGAAGGATCCTGGAAAACCTCCCTCCTCTCTGAGCTGAACCATCATCTGTCCATGTTTGAACCTGTGCCCAGAGGACTGAGTCTCACAACTTTCATTTTTTACATTTCATTTTTTTTAAGAAAAGAAATTAAACATTAACTTTTAACTTCAGATTCATGTTCTCGTGTATTTTATACATTTTTATTTTAAAAACATAAAGTGTGAATTTGCGCTTTTCTGGAGCGCTTCAGCGAGTGCTGCCTTCAGTTATCACTGATATGAAAAGGCCTACGTGGTTTATTATATGTCTACATGTCATACAAATTATCAACGTCATATAAAAAAAACTGCAGTTTTACTTCTACAACCAAAAACCTGCTGATTTGGAGGAAGAGAAGAAGAAAAGATGAAAGTCACTGTGCTTCTGTGGAGAAGCACCGTTACAGTCTTCTCTCTCATACAGGCTCCTCTTGGCTGTCCTGTACTGAAGCTTTAAAACTAGACTGGAAAAGTGTGTTTTCTCATTGTTTTTTTGTTTGTAATACATTTTTATTGGTAAAATTTTATGTAACAGGTGTGTAAATATATAGCATGACTCAGTGAGGAAGAGAAGTAATGTCAATATGAAATGGCTCATTAAAAATGTTCTTTCCGGCCATTGAACCTTCACTCGTTTCCACTCTGGTGCCTCGATTTCCTGTTTTCAGCTCAGTAAAGTCTAAACTCAGAACTTACACAACATTTTCTGATTTGAGGTAAAAATGTC